CATCCAGAATGTGGGAGACAAATGGGAGACAAGTGGGAGACAAATGAGTAGCGATTTTTAGAGTAGTGCCGTGAGAAATCCAAATGAGCGTTAGAGAATCCTTTTCTGTTAAGCAAATCAAGAACCCCTCAGCTAAAGCTGTTTGGGGAATAACCCCAATTAGGGTACTTATAATCTTACTTACTACGTCCCATGATCCTCCAAGTATGCAACCCCAAAAGAACATTCAAAACCCTCCAGGGCCTCCGTGCCTCAGCTTCGGCGAAGACGCCCAGCGCTACAGGCCACGCAGCGCCACGGGTGCCTGGAATAAGACCAGCGGTGGCAGCGGTACTAGCAGTCATGGTACCAGTAGTCGCAGCAGCAGCAGCAGGAGCAGGAGCAGGAGCAGGAGCAGCAGTGGTAGTAGCTGTTGTTATCGTTGTTGCAATGGCAGTTATACTTGTCGTGGTGGCGGTCAATTTGCAAGTGTTTTAGGATGATACGTTTTGGGGGGTCTTTGTTTAGGGGCCATCGTCCTCATCACCACCATCGACCATCCGAAGCAGAACAACAGTCGTACCGCGAATCAATTCGAACACTAACATGCGCACATTGATTTTCGACCATGCTCTTCATCGGAGGCACGTGCGTGTGACAGGCGACAATTGCACGCATTGTCTGCACAAGCAACGTATGCCCAACCATGCCCAATATGCGTGTGTGCATATATAGAAATACACACATACACGTACTCCCAAAGAAGTCAGCAATGGCCGAGCGTCCCGCTTACACATCACATCGGAAATCTTCCCGGCCTCTGGATCCAGAACCCTCTAGCATCACAAAACCCACACCCTGACTTAACCCTAACCCGATGGAGTGCAAGTACCCGCAATGCTTAGTAGGGCTTCGGCCGAAGAACCAAACAACCTCTGGGCCCCCAAAACAGTAAAATCTGGAAACTTAGCCCTAAAGGTCCATGTACCTAAATAGTATGTATCTTGGCCTTAAAGTAGTCCCTATATAGGACCATTGGGGCCAAAGTATGTGCTATTTGGGTACATGGACCCTTAGGGTAGAGTAACCTCCCGAAGATCTCAAACCCTTCTTGGAGGATCATGGGACTTAGTAACTAGGATTATAAAAAAGGTAGCTATAACTATAACCTCAATTAGGGTACTTATAACCTTACTTACTAAACCCTAAACCCTATAACTATAACCCCAATTAGGGTACTTATAACCTTACTTACTAAACCCTAAACCCTATAATTATAACCCCAATTAGGGTACTGATGACCTTAGTTAACAAGCCCCATGAACCTCCAAGTAAACCATAGGAAGATCTTGGTGCGCGGCAGGCATTGATCGTGGTGTTGAAAGCCACAATATCGGGATCCTGGCTCGCGGGCTTTGGATTTCTCTGTGCGCTTTTAAGGCTCACGTGAAAGTTTAGGGTTTAGGGCTTAGGGTTCAGGTTCAGGGCTTAGGGTTTAGTGTGGGTTTAACGTTTAGGGTTCATAAAGTTCGGTTGGGCATGGTCCAACAAGGGGTGTAATATAACTATGTACATAACTAAACAGCTGGGGCGATCTCCCTCTAAGGACCATGTGCAGGCAAAGGCTGACTCTTAGACTCTTAGGGCTTCGCGGTCTGTCTTCAAGCATCGGTGAAGGGTGCCGGGCAGGGGCGTCCGTTCACAAACAGATGGCAAAGGCAACCCACCATCACCCCCCAAGTACCCTTTAAATAGAGCCCGTATGGTCCTAAATAGTGGGTATTCAAAGGGTGAACTTGATGGTAGTTGAGGGGTGCTGGTAAACCCTAAGCCCTGAACCCTAAACCCAAACTGGCTCATGATTCAAGCCCCGGGTTGAGCTTTCAGGGCCTGTTCCCTGGACACCCAAGCATGAGCAAGGGCCCTGGAGCGCATGCCGTCTCCATTCTCGAAGGCGCTAGGAGGTGGTCAGAGTTGAGGGTGAGGGTTTTTAGGGGTTTGGGGGTTTAGGTTTTAGGGTTTAGGGGCTTAGAGTAAAGTGTGTTTAGGGGTTTAGGTTTTAGGGTTTAGGGGCTTAGAGTTAAGGGTTTGGGGTTTTAGGGGTTTAGGGTTCTAAGGTTTAGGGGCTTAGAGTAACAACCTGTCGGAACCCTCTGAAAACCCTACACTAGTCGTATGCAGCCTGTGGGAGCCCTACTATGGGGACCGTATTTAAAAACTGTCAGAGCCCTGTTAAGCCCTTCAGCCTCTACAAAAAGTTTGTAAAATAGGAGCCGTAATAAATTAGAACAGGGTTTTGGGGCATATTATACCATAATTATGCACCCCCAACACAATATAGGTAGTTACCAAGGCCCCTAGATTACGGTTTATGTACTGTAAAGGTCCCACAAGGATCTTGCAACGGTTTGCAAAAGGCTTCTAGGGTCGGTCAGTAAAGCTAAAGACTCCAAGTATACAAATAGTAGCCACGTTGGGGTCTAAACTCCATAAACGGCACCTACTTTGGGCTATTTGGAGTCTCAGGGTTTAGAAAACCAAGACACCGACGTATCTAAAATCTGATAAACCTTAAGCCCTACACTCTGCCCATAGGCCCCATAGTAGTTCCTTTTTGGGATTAACTTATAGGATTCTAAATATGCACCCCAAAAAGGAACTACTATGGGGCCTATGGGTAAGCCCTAAACTCTAAACACCGAAAGCTTGGGCGAAAATCCTAGAGGAACCCAGAGCCTCCGCAGCCGTCAGTGATGCCAAAGCCTGCTGTGAGTTCTGACGGTTCATTCATTGGTTACTGCATAAGAAGGATACTGAACTGAGGAGTTACATAAAAAGGGTGCAGTGAGGGGGCTCCTATAGGCTCAAGGGTCTCAGTGTTCT